GCGACTTACAGGAGCAATTAGGGTTAAGTGCCTTGCTCAAGGGCACATCGACAGATTTTTCACCTAGTCGGCTCGGGGATTAGAACCAGCGGCCTTTCGGTTACTGGCACAACGCTCTTAACCACTAAGCTACCTGCCGCCCCGTGGTCAAAAGTTTTGAGAATGACAAGTATTGGTCTTCACAAAGTTCGCTGCTTCAGTGTTATGAGATATTTTTGTCAGATGTTACTATGGTATACTGAAGTATAATTACAAGCATTCCATAAGTGTCAAAGGCTTTTATTGACAATTACATTAAGTTTATGCAAAGAGTCAATATTTGCAGTGTTGACCCTTCTTTTTCAAGACCTCTGAAATCAGCCCTGGCATGCTGTCAATTAACTTCTGGGCCACATCCTGACTGATGGCAGCCCATTCTTGCATAATCAATGCTTGGAGTTTGTAAGAATTTGTGGGTTTTTGTTTGTCCACCCGCCTCTTGAGGATTGACCACAAATTCTCAATGGGATTAAGGTCTGGGGAGTTTCCTGGCCATGGACCCAAAATGTCGATGTTTTGTTCCCCGAGCCACTTAGTTATCACTTTTGTCTTATGGCATGGTGCTCCATCATGCTGGAAAAGGCATTGGTCGTCACCAAACTGTTCTTGAATGGTTGGGAGAAGTTGCTCTCGGAGAATGTGTTGGTACCATTCTTTATTCATGGCTGTGTTCTTAGGCAAAATTGTGAGTGAGCCCACTCCCTTGGCTGAGAAGCATCCCCACACATGAATGGTCTCAGGATGCTTTACTGTTGGCATGACACAGGACTGATGGTAGCGCTCACCTTGTCTTCTCCGGACAAGCTTTTTTCCGGATGCCCCAAACAATCGGAAAGGGGATTCATCAGAGAAAATGACTTTACCCCAGTCCTCAGCAGTCCAATCCCTGTACCTTTAGCAGAATATCAGTCTCTCCCTGATGTTTTTCCTGGAGAGAAGTGGTTTCCTCGCTGCCCTTCTTGACACCAGGCCATCCTCCAAAAGTCTCTGCCTCACTGTGCGTGCAGATGCACTTTAGGTGCAATCTTACTAGCAGCAATATCCTTGCCTGTGAAGCCCTTTTTGTGCAAAGCAATGATGACGCCACGTGTTTCCTTGCAGGTAACCATGGTTAACAGTGGAAGAACAATGATTTCAAGCACCACCCTCCTTTTAAAGCTTCCAGTCTGTTATTCTAACTCAATCAGCATGACAGAGTGATCTCCAGCCTTGTCCTCGTCAACACTCTCACCTGTGTTAACGAGAGAATCACTGACATGATGTCAGCTGGTCCTTTTGTGGCAGGGCTGAAATGCAGTGGAAATGTTTTTTGGGGATTAAGTTCATTTTCATGGCAAAGAGGGACTTTGCAATTAATTGCAATCCATCTGATCACTCTTCATGACATTCTGGAGTATATGCAAATTGCCATCATAAAAACTGAGGCAGCAGACTTTGTGAAAATTAATATTTGTGTCATTCTCAAAACTTTTGACCACGACTGTATATATATACAGTGGGGGAAAAAAGTATTTAGTCAGCCACCAATTGTGCAAGTTCTCCCACTTAAAAAGATGAGAGGCCTGTAATTTTCATCATAGGTACACGTCAACTATGACAGACAAATTGAGAATTTTTTTCTCCAGAAAATCACATTGTAGGATTTTTATGAATTTATTTGCAAATTATGGTGGAAAATAAGTATTTGGTCACCTACAAACAAGCAAGATTTCTGGCTCTCACAGACTGTAACTTCTTCTTTAAGAGGCTCCTCTGTCCTCCACTCGTTACCTGTATTAATGGCACCTGTTTGAACTTGTTATCAGTATAAAAGACACCTGTCCACAACCTCAAACAGTCACACTCCAAACTCCACTATGGCCAAGACCAAAGAGCTGTCAAAGGACACCAGAAACAAAATTGTAGACCTGCACCAGGCTGGTAAGACTGAATCTGCAATAGGTAAGCAGCTTGGTTTGAAGAAATCAACTGTGGGAGCAATTATTAGGAAATGGAAGACATACAAGACCACTGATAATCTCCCTCGATCTGGGGCTCCACGCAAGATCTCACCCCGTGGGGTCAAAATGATCACAAGAATGGTGAGCAAAAATCCCAGAACCACACGGGGGGACCTAGTGAATGACCTGCAGAGAGCTGGGACCAAAGTAACAAAGCCTACCATCAGTAACACACTACGCCGCCAGGGACTCAAATCCTGCAGTGCCAGACGTGTCCCCCTGCTTAAGCCAGTACATGTCCAGGCCCGTCTGAAGTTTGCTAGAGTGTATTTGGATGATCCAGAAGAGGATTGGGAGAATGTCATATGGTCAGATGAAACCAAAATAGAACTTTTTGGTAAAAACTCAACTCGTCGTGTTTGGAGGACAAAGAATGCTGAGTTGCATCCAAAGAACACCATACCTACTGTGAAGCATGGGGGTGGAAATATCATGCTTTGGGGCTGTTTTTCTGCAAAGGGACCAGGACGACTGATCCGTGTAAAGGAAAGAATGAATGGGGCCATGTATCGTGAGATTTTGAGTGAAAACCTCCTTCCATCAGCAAGGGCATTGAAGATGAAACGTGGCTGGGTCTTTCAGCATGACAATGATCCCAAACACACCGCCCGGGCAACGAAGGAGTGGCTTCGTCAGAAGCATTTCAAGGTCCTGGAGTGGCCTAGCCAGTCTCCAGATCTCAACCCCATAGAAAATCTTTGGAGGGAGTTGAAAGTCCATGTTGCCCAGCGACAGCCCCAAAACATCACTGCTCTAGAGGAGATCTGCATGGAGGAATGGGCCAAAATACCAGCAACAGTGTGTGAAAACCTTGTGAAGACTTACAGAAAACGTTTGACCTGTGTCATTGCCAACAAAGGGTATATAACAAAGTATTGAGAAACTTTTGTTATTGACCAAATACTTATTTTCCACCATAATTTGCAAATAAATTCATTAAAAATCCTACAATGTGATTTTCTGGATTTTTTTTCTCTCATTTTGTCTGTCATAGTTGACGTGTACCTATGATGAAAATTACAGGCCTCTCTCATCTTTTTAAGTGGGAGAACTTGCACAATTGGTGGCTGACTAAATACTTTTTTTCCCCCACTGTATATAGAGAGAGAGAGAGATTTTACCAGATATGTTGACTGTGAACACATTCTCATTTACAGCAACGACCTGGGGAATGGTTACATGGGAGAGGGCCTGGCTTCATGTGTTTCACACTATAAATCTATTCCTCTACTTACAGTACATTACCCTGGTCCTAGATCTGCCAACTCTCACATAATCAGAGCTGTTTAGGATAGACCGGAGAAGACGGGTTCAGCCAAAGCCTGTTCCAACACGTTAGAGAGGTATGGAGCTACATCTGGGCCTGACTATGGATGTTATGAAGTTACCGGTTCAGCCAAAGCCTGTTCCAACACGTTAGAGAGGTATGGAGCTACATCCGGGCCTGACTATGGATGTTATGAAGTTATGCTCTGGCTTCATGTGTTTGTTTCACACTCTAAATCTACTGCTTTAAATACTGTACACTACATCAGGTGAAATCACTGTGTCAGGCCGTGTCTAAAACGGCACCCTATTCCCTATACTATATAGTGCACTAGTTATTGGACCGTAGCATATCCTTATGGGCCCTGGTCTAAAGTGGTGCATGTACAGTTCTAACCAACACCTGTCCCTTTACCAGACTCAGTTCTAACCCAACACCTGTCCCTTTACCAGACTCAGTTCTAACCAACACCTGTCCCTTTACCAGACTCAGTTCTAACCAACACCTGTCCCTTTACCGGACTCAGTTCTAACCAACACCTGTCCCTTTACCGGACTCAGTTCTAACCAACACCTGTCCCTTTACCGGACTCAGTTCTAACCAACACCTGTCCCTTTACCAGACTCAGTTCTAACCACCACCTGTCCCTTTACCAGACTCAGTTCTAACCACCACCAAATGGCACCCTAAACCATGAAAAAACAGCCCCAGACCATTATTCCTCCTCCACCAAACTTTACAGTCGGCACTATGCATTGGGGCAAATAGTGTTCTCCTGGCATCCGCCAAACCCAGATTCGTCCGTTGGACTGCCAGATGGTGAAGCGTGATTCATCACTCCAGAAAACGTATTTCCACTGCTCCAGAGTCCAATGGCGGCGAGCTTTACACCACTCCAGCCGACGCTTGGCATTGCACATGGTGATCTGAGGTTTGTGTGCGGCTGCTCGGCCATGGAAACCCATTTCATGACGAACAGTTCTTGTGCTGACGTTGCTTCCAGAGGCAGTTTGGAACTCAGTAGTGAGTGTTGCAACCGAGGACAGACGATTTTTATGCGCTTCTGCACTCGGCGGTCCCGTTCTGTGAGCTTGTGTGGCCTACCACTTCGCGGCTGATCCGTTGTTGCTCCTAGACGTTTCCACTTCACAATAACAGCACTTACAGTTGACCGGGGCAGCTCTAGCAGGGCAGAAACGTGACAAACTGACTTGTTGGAAAGGTGGCATCCTATGACGGTGCCACATTGAAAGTCACTGAGCTCTTCAGTACGGGTCATTCTACTGCCAATGTTTGTCTATGGAGATTGCATGGCTGTGTGCTCGATTCTATACACCTGTCAGCAGTGGGTGTGGCTGAAATAGCCGAATCCACTAATTTGAAGGGGTGTTCACATACTGTTGTATATATAGTGGAACTACACCAAATATTTGGATGTTTTCCCGCCAACTCTGTCAGAAGATGACATCTCTCCCTGTTTGAAATGGGAGCTGTTAGAAAGATCAACATCCAATACATTATTAGTCCATGGTATTCCTCCGACTAGGATGAGATGAGAGGAAAGGGGCCGGACATCACTCTCATTGGGTAACAATATCTCCCTACCACTAGACCACCCTCTACAGCTGCAGAAACACGCCAGGCTCTTTTTCCCATCTCTCCAACCAGACGTCAGGCACTAAGGACGTTGAAGCCTAGTCTGCGTCTGAAATAGCACCCTATTTCCTTGGGTTCTGGTCATAAGTAGTGCACTATATAGGGAAAAGGGTGCAATTTGGGACACCCACCCCCAAGACGTGTACATTTCTGTCCTATATTCTGATGTCAGGTGCCGTTGCACTCTGCAGACTGGTTAATGACAAGCTAAAGGGGTAAAGGTGTACCTCTGTTGTTGCAGAGTAGAGAAGTGCACCAAACACAACCATTGTGTTAACTTAGCTAGTAATTAGAGAGAAAAACGACCAGCCGCTCTCTCTCTAACTCACAACACTGTCTTTGTGCCTTTTCTTGTCTTTTAAAAGTAACCCGCTCTCTCTCTGATGCTACAGCTTTCAGCATTACAGCTTTTCAGACACAAGCCTTCTAAACTTTTCCTCTGTTAGGCAAGGCTTGGTATCCCCAGGCTTCTCTGAGCGGAGCATAACAGAGGGCTTGTCTCCCTCTCTCCGTCTGTTTAAAACATTTATCTCCTCGGTAGCACAGCGCCTGCAGAGGAGAGTCGAATGCCCTACAGCTGGCTTGGGAGAGGAAGGAACTAACTTGGCATTGCACCATACAGCCAGCCAGCCTGGGTAATGTACACTGGGTTGTCTCACTACTCGTTCTGCTTTTACTGTGCTTCTGACTATAGCTAGTCATTAAGTTACTGGGTCTGTGTTTGATTGGGTCAGTGAGGGAGGTGTTCTGTGTTTGATTGGGTCAGTGAGGGAGGTGTTCTGTGTTTGGGGGGGTCAGTGAGGGAGGTGTTCTGTGTTTGGGGGGGTCAGTGAGGGAGGTGTTCTGTGTTTGGGGGGGTCAGTGAGGGAGGTGTTCTGTGTTTGGGGGGGGTTGGGTCAGTGAGGGAGGTGTTCTGTGTTTGATTGGGTCAGTGAGGGAGGTGTTCTGTGTTTGGGGGGGTCAGTGAGGGAGGTGTTCTGTGTTTGGGGGGGTCAGTGAGGGAGGTGTTTCTGTGTTTGGGGGGGTCAGTGAGGGAGGTGTTCTGTGTTTGGGGGGGGGTCAGTGAGGGAGGTGTTCTGTGTTTGGGGGGGTCAGTGAGGGAGGTGTTCTGTGTTTGGGGGGGGTCAGTGAGGGAGGTGTTCTGTGTTTGGGGGGGGGGGGGGGGGGGGGGGGGGTTGCCTGATGATTCATGGACTGTTTTCATGTCCATTAAGAGTATCAACTCTTACTGCCATGTTAGTAAAACAGCTTTAAAAGTGTTGACTTGTTGTTTATTTGAGTTAGAAGCTAATGGTTCATCTGAGACCTCCATTTCCTATATCCCCTTCTGACGTCAACAGATGCATTCCTAGTCCTAACTGTCAGCATTAAATCCTATCACACTATTCAGTAAGACTTGAAACCACCCTATCTTTAGTTAAGATGGTTAACTGACAGCTTTGAAAAGCACAGAAAACTCCAGAGCCAAACTGTGTCGACTTCATTATTAGTCTAAAAATGGTTTCATTCAGTGTCTCATTCTCTCCTGTAGGTTATTTTTAGTTTAATAAGCTATTTTTCTCTCCCCCTCCCTCCCTCCCTCCCTCTTTCTCCCCCTCCCTCCCTCTCCCCCCTTCTCCCCCTCCCCCCCCCCCCCCCTCCCCCCCCCCCCCCCCTCCCTCCCTCCCCCCCTTCTCCCCCTCCCTTTCCCTTCTCCCCCCTCCCTTCCCCCCCCCCCTTCTCCCTGTCTCTCTCCCTCCCCCTCCCCGTCTCTCTCCATCCCTCTCCTCTTCTGTTTGTATCGAGTTCCTCCATGTGAGCCTAGTCATCCAGAGGGTCACTTTAATCACAATGTTTTCCACTATTTTTTCTTCCCCCCCTCTCTCCTTCTCGCTCCCTCTTCCCTCTCTCTCCTCCCCTCCTCTCTCCTCCCTCCTCTCTCCTTCTTGCTCCCTCTCTTCCCTCTCTCTCCTCCCCTCCCCTTCCTTCTCTCCTCCCCCTCCTCTCCTCTCTCCTTCTCCCCTCTCCTCCTCTCTCCCCCCTCTCCTCCCCTATTCCCTTTATAGTGTACCCTATTCCCTTTATAGTGCACCCTATTCCCTTTATAGTGTACCCTATTCCCTTTATAGTGTACCCTATTCCCTTTATAGTGTACCCTATTCCCTTTATAGTGCACCCTATTCCCTTTATAGTGCACCCTATTCCCTTTATAGTGTACCCTATTCCCTTTATAGTGTACCCTATTCCCTTCACAAGCATTTCGTTACACCCGCAATAACATCTGCTAAATATGTGTATGTGACCAATAAAATTTGATTTGACTTGATTTATAGTGCACCCTAAGGCCAGAACAGACTATGGGGAACACAAAGTACTACATAGAGCCATGACTGCATGGAACATAGAGCCATGACTGCATGGAACATAGAGCCATGACTACATGGAACATAGAGCCATGACTGCATGGAACATAGAGCCATGACTACACGGAACATAGAGCCATGACTACACGGAACATAGAGCCATGACTACATGGAACATAGAGCCATGACTACATGGAACATAGAGCCATGACTACATGGAACATAGAGCCATGACTACATGGAACATAGAGCCATGACTGCATGGAACATAGAGCCATGACTACATGGAACATAGAGCCATGACTACATGGAACATAGAGCCATGACTACATGGAACATAGAGCCATGACTACATGTAACATAGAGCCATGACTACATGGAACATAGAGCCATGACTGCATGGAACATAGAGCCATGACTACATGGAACATAGAGCCATGACTTCATGGAACATAGAGCCATGACTGCATGGAACATAGAGCCATGACTACATGGAACATAGAGCCATGACTACATGGAACATAGAGCCATGACTACATGGAACATAGAGCCATGACTACATGGAACATAGAGCCATGACTACATGGAACATAGAGCCATGACTACATGGAACATAGAGCCATGACTACATGGAACATAGAGCCATGACTGCATGGAACATAGAGCCATGACTGCATGGAACATAGAGCCATGACTGCATGGAACATAGAGCCATGACTTCATGGAACATAGAGCCATGACTACATGGAACATAGAGCCATGACTGCATGGAACATAGAGCCATGACTGCATGGAACATAGAGCCATGACTACATGGAACATAGAGCCATGACTACATGGAACATAGAGCCATGACTGCATGGAACATAGAGCCATGACTACATGGAACATAGAGCCATGACTGCATGGAACATAGAGCCATGACTTCATGGAACATAGAGCCATGACTACATGGAACATAGAGCCATGACTGCATGGAACATAGAGCCATGACTACATGGAACATAGAGCCATGACTACACGGAACATAGAGCCATGACTACACGGAACATAGAGCCATGACTACACGGAACATAGAGCCATGACTGCACGGAACATAGAGCCATGACTGCACGGAACATAGAGCCATGACTACACGGAACATAGAGCCATGACTGCATGGAACATAGAGCCATGACTGCATGGAACATAGAGCCATGACTACATGGAACATAGAGCCATGACTACATGGAACATAGAGCCATGACTACATGGAACATAGAGCCATGACTACATGGAACATAGAGCCATGACTGCATGGAACATAGAGCCATGACTGCATGGAACATAGAGCCATGACTACATGGAACATAGAGCCATGACTTCATGGAACATAGAGCCATGACTACATGGAACATAGAGCCATGACTGCATGGAACATAGAGCCATGACTGCATGGAACATAGAGCCATGACTACATGGAACATAGAGCCATGACTACATGGAACATAGAGCCATGACTGCATGGAACATAGAGCCATGACTACATGGAACATAGAGCCATGACTGCATGGAACATAGAGCCATGACTTCATGGAACATAGAGCCATGACTACATGGAACATAGAGCCATGACTGCATGGAACATAGAGCCATGACTACATGGAACATAGAGCCATGACTACACGGAACATAGAGCCATGACTACACGGAACATAGAGCCATGACTGCACGGAACATAGAGCCATGACTACACGGAACATAGAGCCATGACTACACGGAACATAGAGCCATGACTGCATGGAACATAGAGCCATGACTGCATGGAACATAGAGCCATGACTGCATGGAACATAGAGCCATGACTACATGGAACATAGAGCCATGACTGCATGGAACATAGAGCCATGACTGCATGGAACATAGAGCCATGACTACATGGAACATAGAGCCATGACTACATGGAACATTCTTCCAAATCAAGTAACTCAGGCAGGCAGTAAAGTAGGTATTTAAAAAACAGAAAATGACACCTTATGGAACAGCATGGACTGTGAAGACAGACACACACTCTATACACAAGTTCATATGGCTTTTGTGTTGTAGTAATGTGTAGTAATGTGTAGGGAAGTGGAATGTTTTAACTCTATGTAAACCCCAGGAAGAGTATCTGCTGCCTTGGCAGGAACTAATGGGGATCCATAATAAACCCCAGGAAGAGTATCTGCTGCCTTGGCAGGAACTAATGGGGATCCATAATAAACTCCAGGAAGAGTAGCTGCTGCCTTGGCAGGAACTAATGGGGATCCATAATAAACCCCAGGAAGAGTAGCTGCTGCCTTGGCAGGAACTAATGGGGATCCATAATAAACCCCAGGAAGAATAGCTGCTGCCTTGGCAGGAACTAATGGGGATCCATAATAAACCCCAGGAAGAGTAGCTGCTGCCTCGGCAGGAACTAATGGGGATCCATAATAAGCCCCAGGAAGAGTAGCTGCTGCCTTGGCAGGAACTAATGGGGATCCATAATAAACCACAGGAAGAGTAGCTGCTGCCTTGGCAGGAACTAATGGGGATAAAATGTTTTCCCATGATTTGGTTGGGTCTAATTGTGTTGCTGTCCTGGGGCTTTGTGGGGTCTGTATGTGTTTGTGAACAGAGCCCCAGAACCAGATGGCTTAGGGGACTCTTCTCCAGGTTCATCTCTCTGTAGGTGATGGCTTTGTTATGGAAGGTTTGGGAATCGCTTCCTTTTAGGTGGTTGTAGAATTTAACGTTTTATTTTCTGGATTTTGATAATTAGCGGGTATCGGCCTAATTCTGCTCGGCATGCATTATTTGGTGTTTTACGTTGTACACTAAGGATATTTTTGCAGAATTCTACATGCAGAGTCTCAATTTGGTGTTTGTCCCATTTTGTGAATTCTTGGTTGGGGAGCGGACCCCAGACCTCACAACCATAAAGGGCAATGGGTTCTATAACTGATTCAAGTATTTTTTGACAGATCCTAATTGGTATGTCAAATTTTATGTTCCTTTTGATGGCATAGAAGGCCCTTCTTGCCTTGTCTCTCAGATCGTTCACAGCTTTGTGGAAGTTACCTCTGGCGCTGATGTTTAGGCCGAGGTATGTATCGTTTTTTGTGTGCTCTAGGGCAACGGTGTCTAGATGGAATTTGTATTTGTGGTCCTGGCAACTGGACCTTTTTTGGAACACCATTATTTTTGTCTTACTGAGATTTACTATCAGGGCCCAGGTCTGACAGAATCTGTGCATAAGATCTAGGTGCTGCTGTAGGCCCTCCTTGGTTGGGGACAGAAGCACCAGATCATCAGCAAACAGTAGACATTTGACTTCAGATTCTAGTAGGGTGAGGCCGGGTGCTGCAGACTGTTCTAGTGCCCTCGTTGCTGTTGACGCATATCCCACGGTAGTTATTGGGGTCAAATTTGTCTCTGCTTTTGTGGATTGGGGTGATCAGTCCTTGATTCCAAATATTGGGGAAGATGCCAGAGCTGAGGATGATGTTAAAGAGTTTAAGTATAGCCAATTGGAATTTGTGGTCTGTATATTTTATCATTTCATTGAGGATACCATCAACACCACAGGCCTTTTTGGGTTGGAGGGTTTGTATTTTGTCCTGTAGTTCATTCAATGTAATTGGAGAATCCAGTGGTTTCCGGTAGTCTTTAATAGTTGATTCTAATATATTTATTTGATCATGTATATTTATTTTGCTGTTTGTTCTTTGTTATAGGGCCAAAAAGATTTGAGAAGTCGTTTATCCACACATCTCCGTTTTGGATAGATAGCTCTTCGTGTTGTTTGTTTGTTTAGTGTTTTCCAATTTTGCCAGAAGTGGTTAGAGTCTATGGATTCTTCAATTACGTTGAGCTGATTTCTGACATGCTGTTCCTTCTTTTTCCGTAGTGTATTTCTGTATTGTTTTAGTGATTCACCATAGTGAAGGCGTAGGCTCAGGTTTTCTGGGTCTCTATGTTTTTGGTTGGATTGGTTTCTCAATTTCTTTCTTAGGTTTTTGCATTCTTCATCAAACCACTTGTCAATGTTGTTAATTTTCTTAGGTTGTCTGCTTGAAATGTTTAGATTTGACAGGGAAGCTGAAAGGTCAAATATACTGTTTAGGCTTTCTACTGCCAAGTTTACACCTTCACTATTACAGTGAAATGTTTTGTCCAGGAAGTTGTCTAAAAGAGATTGGATTTGTTGTTGCCTAATTGTTTTTTCTGGTAGGTTTCTCCACTACTTTCCTTCCATCTATAGCATTTCTTAATATTGTGCAGTTCCTTTGGCTTTGATGCCTCATGATTGAGTATTGCTCTGTTCAAGTAGACTGTGATTTTGCTGTGGTCTGATAGGGGTGTCAGTGGGCTGACTGTGAACGCTCTGAGAGACTCTGGGTTGAGGTCAGTGATAAAGTAGTCTACAGTACTACTGCCAAGGAATGAGCTATAGGTGTACCTACCATAGGAGTCCCCTCGAAGCCTACCATTGACTATGTACAGACCCAGTGTGCGACACAACTGCAGGAGTTGTGACCCATTTTTGTTGGTTATGTTGTCGTAGTTGTGTCTAGGGGGGCATATGGGGGAGGGAATGCTGTCACCTCCAGGTAGGTGTTTGTCCCCCTGTGTGCTGAGGCTGTCAGGTTCTTGTCCAGTTCTGGCATTTAGGTCGCCACAGACTTGTACATGTCCCTGGGTCTGGAAATGATTGATTTCCCCCTCCAGGATGGAGAAGCTGTCTTCGTTAAAGTATGGGGATTCTAGTGGAGGGATATAGGTAGCACACAGGAGGACATTTTTCTCTGTTGAGATGAATTTCTAGCCAGATGTCAAATGTTCCTGTTTTGACTAATTTAATAGAGTGGGTTAGGTCTGCTCTATACCAAATTAGCATACCCCCTGAGTCCCTTCCCTGTTTCACACCTGGTAGTTTGGTGGATGGGACTACCAGCTCTCTGTAACCTAGAGGGCAACCAGTGGGTCCATCTCCTCTATACCATGTTTCTTGTAGGATGACAATGTCTGTATTTCTGATTTATTTGGTGAAGTCCAGGTTCCTGCTCTTTAGGCCAAAGGCAGATGACCTCAGACCTTGTATATTCCAGGATGAGATAGTGACTGGCTGCCTGAGGCCCAGTACAGAGTCTCTCTCTCTCGCTGTCTCTCTCTCGCTGTCTCTCTCTCGCTGTCTCTCTCTCGCTGTCTCCTCTCTCTCTCTCTCTCTCTCTCTCTCTCTCTCTCTCTCTCTCTCTCTCTCTCTCTCTCTCTCTCTCTCTCTCTCTCTCTCTCTCTCTCTCTCTCTCTCTCTCTCTCTCTCTCAGTGAAGACATCCTTCAGCATGTTCACACATTTCCAGCTACACACACACACACCACCAATCTGCAGGATGGTCATAGAAGAAGGTTGAGGAAAGAGTTGAGATATTCCAGAATCTGTTTCCAATAGAAAGTAGTTTCCTACCTGGAGTCCGGAGTAAATAAAGCCCAACCCTCAACAGGATTCTCTCTGCCTCAAAGTTACACGTGAATCAGCTGACTCCATACTGTACACTGCTTGTTCAAGGAATACTGTTTTCTCTAGCAGCTGTTTTCTAAATATCCTGTATTAGTGATGTTGGAGGTGGATCCTGTATTAGTGATGTTGTCTGGGTGACAGGATGGATGTAGATCCTGTATTAACAGCTGTTTTCTAGGTGACAGGATGGATGTAGATCCTGTATTAACAGCTGTTGTCTAGGTGACAGGATGGATGTAGATCCTGTATTAACAGCTGTTGTCTGGGTGAGCCTGCCGTTGTCTTTGTCAATCAACACACTTACCATTATTCAGTCTGAATCCTAAATGTGCTGCATCACATATTTAAAGGAGTCTCTCTTTACAAAGCTCTGAAAGGTGAGCATTACAGAATTACAGCCCTGGTGACAGGGAGAGAGAGAGAATGGTTTGTGCCCGGCCTAATCTGTCTGCTGTCTGCCTGGGACTATCGACCAGAGGCGTGTTATTATTGCGCCAGAGCATGTGGAAAGTACATATTATGGAGTGTATCCCAAATGGCACCCTATTCCCTATATAGTGCACTACTTTTGACCAGGGCCCTGCTACATGCTATATAGAGACCCAGGTCAAAAGTAATGCAGTATATAGGGTGCCACTTGGAACGCCGTGTGTCACAGCTCTCTATATCAAGGGCTTTACCAGCATCTAAACCTCCTCTTTGTCTTGTTCTCCTGTCCAGCTATGGAGCGTTGGGTTCTCTTCTCTCTGTCTCTCCTGGTCTACCTGTATCTGGAGGTGGCTGTAGCTGGGGCCCAGGACCAGAGAGGGCTGGCTGGCCAGGGTCGGGGCCACGGGAGGAGGAGAGGACCAGGGGGCCCAGAGCACAACCAGCCCCAGGGAGGAGGGCTAGGACGGGGAAAGAGGCGGAAGGCAGGAGAGCCAGGGAAAGGGAGAGCCAGGGGGAACAGGGATGATCAGCGATCAAAACCCCCCCTGGGTCTGACGAGGCTGGGGAGTCTTCCACCCAACGCAGGAGGAGACGGACGGTCTATTTTCATTGTGTCGTACAAGAGTGTTGACGAGAGACAGTCTAACTACAATGTTATCCCAGGTTAGTCCACCACCACGCCTCTCTCTCCATCCCTCTCTCTCCCTCTCTCTCTCTCTCTCCATTCCTCTCTCCCCCTCTCTGCTGTACCAGATGTTTGTTGAAGTTACGCACAATGCTCACAGTCCTTTTATTTCCTATATAATCAAACAATGAATGAAGCAGTTTGATTAGGGTTGGTGTATTTGTCCAGTTACAGAACTGAAACAGGCAGCAGATGTCTTCAACAACAGGGAACAGTGTACTGTACTAGCTAGCCTAATAGGGAATGCACTGAAGATGTTTCTTGTTTTTAACATTAGTAGACATCAGTCAGTGGCTTTACAGGTCAGCTGTATGAATGAATCTAGTCCGAGTGCCAGTCTGCTTGTGCCATCATCCCAACTCATCACTCATTGTCATGTTTGATTTGACAATGATAGCAATGGGGTTGTCAAGTGCTGGCTGTGCCACTAGAGATCCTGGTTCAAATCCAGGCTCTGTCGCAGCCGGCCGCGACCGGGAGACTCATGGGCAGCGCACAATTGGCCCAGCGTCGTCCAGGGTAGGGGAGGGAATGGCCGGCAGGGATGTAGCTCAGTTGATAGAGCATGGCGTTTGCAACGTCAGGGTTGTGGGTTTGATTCCCACGGGGGGCCAGTATGATTTTAAAAAAAATATATATATATATAATAAAATAAAAAAATACAATAAAAAAAAAGGTATTCACTAACTGTAAGTCGCTCTGGATAAGAGTGTCTGCTAAATGACTAAAATGTAAAATGTAAATGTCAAGAGAACCAACACTTCAATGGGGTTGTCAAAAAACCAACAGATCAATAGAGTTGTCAAGAGAACCAACAGGTCAATTGAGGTGTGAAGAGAACCAACAGATTAATGGAGGTGTCAAGAGAAGCAATAGATTAATGGAGGTGTCAAGAGAACCAACAGATTAATGGAGGTGTCAAGAGAACCAACAGACGTGAGACTAATATGAAACAGGGCCTACAATAGAAAGCATGACCATGCCATTTACAAGTTCAGATTATCTGGAAAAAATAACTGCTAATGCATTGATCCCATGGAACAGAAAATAGCAGTATCCTTTCCTCCCAGAGTTCCTTGTTTTACTACCACCACCTATGAATTCCATCCTGGTCATGTCATAGTATGTTTTAGGATGATTTTCCTCCTGATGATTTTACCTCAGTATCGGTCTGTCGGTCGGTATGGTCTGTCGGTCAGTATGGTCTGTCGGTCAGTATGGTCTGTCGGTCCGTATGGTCTGTCGGTCAGTAGGCAGTCTGTCCGTATGGTCAGTCTGTCCGTATGGTCTGTCTGTCAGTATGGTCCGTCGGTCAGTATGGTCCGTCGGTCAGTATGGTCCGTCGGTCCGTATGGTCTGTCGGTCGGTATGGTCCGTCGGTCGGTATGGTCCGTCGTCGGTATGGTCCGTCGGTCCGTATGGTCCGTCGTCGTGGTCGTCGGTCGTGTCGTCTGTCAGTATGGTCTGTCGGTCTGTCGGTCAGTACGGTCTGTCGGTCAGTACGGTCTGTCGGTCAGTACGGTCTGTCGGTCAGTACGGTCTGTCGGTCAGTACGGTCTGTCGGTCAGTATGGTCTGTCGGTCAGTATGGTCTGTCGGTCAGTATGGTCTGTCGGTCAGTACGGTCTGTCGGTCAGTACGGTCTGTCGGTCAGTACGGTCTGTCGGTCAGTACGGTCTGTCGGTCAGTATGGTCTGTCGGTCAGTATGGTCTGTCGGTCAGTATGGTCTGTCGGTCAGTATGGTTGGCTAGCCACTCTACCAGTGGTATGTTCTTACAGCACAGCAGGGCTAAGCCACAGTCTCACTGACCACATGGAGACACTGAACTGCAGCGCTGAGTGTTCCTATCATGACCGTAGAAGATATCTTAAATTCACAGACGTTTTTAACTTTCGCTGGAGGGTGTCCGAAGGACTGCAATTCCCACTTTTGAACCCAGGCCCAGCCATACAAAGCAACAGCCCAAATCACCCAAACTTCCACTGACAGTGTAGCAGCTAGCTAGTACTTCACTGTAGCATTGCATGACAGTTAGTTTCAGATTATACAGCATGATTGCAATTTTGCATTGTTTCCCTAAAAACACTTTGCCAATTAACCATTTTCACGGAAGGAGAACAAGAAAATATTATGAATAGAAACAGACAGCAATTAGAAATCTTAGCTGATTCTATCCTTGGTGAGGATTGGAGGAATCACGATATCACATAGCTGGTTAAAGAGGTCTTTATAGAGACCACACTAATGAAGCTGTGACTCAGTGGACAACAGGCTGGGTCTGCGGGCCTGGTTTCTGTGTTATTATGGTCAGTAGAAAAGGATTGGGCAGCGATATTGAGACCATAGACTGTGATTGAGACCAGGAAATTATCAAATTACTGTATATGCAAATCACCAACTCGATTCCATTATTTGTGTCACTCAGGATGTTTCCATTGAGGAAGGGATTGTGTGAACACATTCTCAGTGTTAGTGATCATCACATGCGATGCTCTGTATCACGTTACTGTGGTAATTCGACAATAAATCCAAGGCGCCTAGCTTTATTCAAGATTACTTTACACACGAGTAACCCCTAGTCACATCCAAATCCATTGTGGCTCTAACACTCAAGGCGTGGTCCACACAACTACCAACGCCAATATCGTGTGTGTGTGGGAGTTATCCCCCAAAACATTTTTACAACGTGGTCAAAGCTACTACCAGTAACAACGTTACCGACTTCCTCCTAGTGGACTGTATTGTTTGGACAGGCCAGTAATCCTCGGACAGAAAGGTGATGTAGGAGGAGGGTTCTATGAATAATTTCTCTTGTCTGTTTCTCCCAGTAAGTACAGACGTCCGGACCCTCCTAGACCAGACACACTTAATAGCTAGCTGTTGTTGGAGCTCCACTTTTACCACCGTCACTCTCTGATAAATATATAATGATATCAACATCCTCTGTAGCTCAGCTGGTAGAGCACGGCGCTTGTAACGCCAGGGGTAGTGGGTTCGATCCCCGGGAACACCCATACGTAAAAATGTATGCGCACATGACTGTAAGTCGCTTTGGATAAAAGCGTCTGCTAAATGGCATATTATTATTATTATTATTATTATAATATGACACGGTCACCTGGGAGGTGCCACACACACCAAACACGTCCTCCCCAAGCTGTGCAGTTATCCTGGGGACACGGCCATACCTGGAGTCCTGAGATGGTAGTGCAATTACAGAAAGTCTCCGTTTTTTACAGCTTGAAATAGGAACAAAATCCTAGAATAATGAATCTAGTAACACATTCAGTAGGTAGGTAGCCCCAGCGGAGGATAAGGAGTTGGACCTGTAGCTGAAATGGTGCCTGTTTGAATCCCGGGCCAGGCGCCGAAAAAATTTATGTTTTTGGCTGTTACTATGGTTTTTGGCTGTTACTATGGCAACTAGGTTCAGCCGTGGGCCAATTGTTTCTTAAGCGGAGGGTCAAGGGGCCAGAACATAATGAAAACAATTATTTGTAGACTGCAAATTGATCGGAAGAAGCTCAAACAGATATAACATTTGACAAAAACATAATCATTTAAAACCTTCATTTCAAACATTGCTTACATTTGTCTACGATCAAATACAGTGCCTTCAGAAAGTATTCATACCCCTTGACTTATTCAACATTTTATTGTGTTACAGCCTGAATTTTAAAAGGATAAAAAAAAAAAAAAAAGGTTTTCACCCATCTACACCACAACACCCCAAAATGACAAACTGAAAACATGTTTTTATAAATGTTTGCTAATTTATTGAAAATGAAATCCAGAAATATCTAATTTACTTACTGTAAGTATTTACACGAGTCAATACATGTTAGATTCACCTTGGGCAGCACTAACAGAAGTGAGTATTTCTGAGTAAGTCTCTAAGAGCTTTGCACACCTGGATTGTACAATATTTGCACATTATTCTTTAAAAAAATTCTTCAAGTTCTGTAAAGTTGGTTGTTGATCATGGCTAGACAACCATTTTCAAGTCTCATTTTCAAGCCGATTTATGTCAAAACTGCCACTAGGGAACATTAAATGTCACCTTGGTAAGCAACTCCAAGGTACAGTGCATTCGGAAAGTCTCTGCAGATCCTCTCAAGCTCTGTCAGGTTGGATGTGGAGCATCGCTGCACAGCTATTTTCAGGTCTCTCCAGAGATGTTCGATCGGGTTCAAGTCCGGGCTCTGGCTGGGACACTCAAGGACATTCAGAGACTTGTCCCGAAGCCACTCCTGCGTTGTCTTGGCTGTGTGCTTAGGGTCGTTGTCCTGTTGGGAAGGTGAACCTTCGCCCCAGTCTGAGGTCCTGAGTGCTCTGGAACAGGTTTTCATCAAGGATCTCTCAGTACTTTGCTCCATTCATCATTGCCTCAATCCTGACTAGTCTCCCAGTCCCTGCCGCTGAAAAACATTCCCACAGCATGATGCTGCCACCACCATGCTTCACCGTAGGGATGGTGCCAGGTTTCCTCCAGACGTGACGCTTGGCATTCAGGCCAAAGAGTTCAATCTTGGTTTCATCAGACCAGAGAATCTTGTTTCTCACGTTCTGCGAGTCTTTAGGTGCCTTTTGGCAAACTCCAAGTGGGCTGTCATGTGCCTTTTACTGAGGAGTGGTTCCGTCTGGCCACTCTACCATAAAGGCCTGATTGGTGGAGTGCTGCAGAGATGGTTGTCCTTCTGGAAGTTTCTCCCATCTCCACAAAGGAACTCTGGACCTCTGTCAGAGTGACCATCGGGTTCTTGGTCACCTCCCTGACCAAGGCCCTTCTCCCCCTGATTGCTCAGTTTGGCTGGGCGGCCAGCTCTACGAAGACTGTTGGTGATTCCAATCTTCTTCTATTTAAGAATGATGGAGGCCACTGTGTTCTTGGGGACCTTCAATGCTGCAGGAATGTTTTGGTACCCTTCCCCAGATCTGTGCCTCGACACAATCCTTTCTCGGAGCTCTACGGACAATTCCTTCGACCTCATGGCTTGGTTTTTGCTCTGACATGCACTGTCAACAGTGGGACCTTATATAGACAGGTGTGTGCCTTTCCAAATCATGTCCAATCAATTGAATTTACCACAGGTGGACTCCAATCAAGTTGAAGAAACATCAAGGATTATCAATGGAAACAGGATGCACTTGAGCTCAATTTCGAGTCTCATACCAAAGGGTCTGAATACTTATGTAAATAAGGTATCATTTTCTTTTTTTTTAAATATAAATTTGCAAACATTTCTAAAAACCTGTTTTTGCAGTGTCATTATGTGGTATTGTGTGTAGATTGATGAGGATTGTTATTTAGAATAAGGCTGTAACACAACAAAATGTGGAAAAAGTCAAGAGGAGTGAATACTTTCTTAATGCACTGTATACACTGAGTGTACAAAACATTAGGAACACCTGCTCTTTCCATGACAGAGACTATCCAGGTGAACTCTTGATGTCACTTAAATCCACTTCAATCAGTGTAGATGAAGGGGAGGAGACAGGTTAAATAAGGATTTTTAAGCCTTGAGACAATTGAGACATGGATTGTGTATGTGTGCCATTCAGAGGGTGAATGGGCAAGGCAACAGATTTAAGAGCCTTTGAACGGCGTATGGTAGTAGGTGCCAGGCGCACCGGTTTGTGTCAAGAACTGCAACGCTGCTGGGTTTTTCACGCTCAAAAGTTTCCTGTGTGTATCAAGAATGGTCCACCACCTAAATGCCATCCAGCCAACATGACACAACTGTGGGAAGCATTGGAGTCAACATGGGCCAGCATCCCTGTGGAACGCTTTCGACACCTTGTAGAGTCCATGCCCCAACGAATTGAGGCTGTTCTGAGGGCAAAGGGGGGAGGGTGCAACTCAATATTAGGAAGGTGTTCCTAATGTTTGGTCTACTCAGTGTATTTGGCCTTGTGTTCTAGGTTAATGTTCTGCTGAAAGGTGAATTCATCTCCCAGTTTCGGTTGGAAAGCAGACTGAACCAGGTTTTCCTCTAGGATTTTGCCTGTGCTTAGCTCCATTCCATTTATTTTTATCAACAACAAAAAAACTCCCTAGTCCTTGCCGATGACAAGCATACCCATTACATGATGCAGCCACCACTATGCTTGAAAATATTTAGAGTGTACTCAGTAATGTGTTGGATTTGCCCCAACATAACGCTTTGTATTCAGGACATAAAGTTAATTTCTTTGCCACATTTTTTGCGGTTTTACTTTAGTGCCTTATTGCAAACAGGATGCATGTTTTCTGTACAGGCTTCCTTCTTTTCACTCTGTCATTTAGGTTAGTATTGTCGAGTAACTACAATGTTGTTGATCCAGCCTCATTTTTCTCCTATCACAGCCATTAAACTCTGTAATGGTTATAAAGCCACCATTGGCCTTTGGTGAAATCCTTGAGAGGTTTCCTTCCTCTCCGACAACTGAGTTAGGAAGGACGCCTGTATGTTTGTAGTGACTGGGTGTATTGATACACCATCCAAAGTGTAATTAATAACTTCACCATGTCCAAAGGGATATTCAATGTCTGCTTTTTTATTTCTACCCATCTACCAATAGGTGCCCTTTTTTGCGAGGCATTGGAAAACCTCCCTGGTTTCTGTAGTTGAATCAGTGTTTGAAATTCACTGCTCGACTGGAGGGACCTTTCAGATCATTGTATGTGTGGGGTACAGAGATGAGGTAGTCATTCAAAAATCATGTTAAACACTATTATTGCACACAGAGTGAGTCCATGCAACTTATTATGTGACTTGTTAAGCAAATTGTTTTTTAAACTCCTGAACTTATTTAGACTTGCCATAATAAAGGGGTTGAATACTAATTTCAGCATTTTCATTTTTAATTAATTTGTAAAAATGTCTAAAAACATAATTCCACTTTCACATTAAAGGGTATTGTGTGTTGGCCAGTGACAAAATCTCAATATAATCAATTTTAAATGTATGCACTCACTAACTGTAAGTCGCTCTGGATAAGAGCGTCTGCTAAATGACATAAAATGTAAAATGTAAATGTAAACACAACAAAAATGTGGAAAAAGTCAAGGGCTGTGAATACTTTCTGAAGGCACTCTCTATTACGTGTGGGAATACATTCAAACAGATTTCCAAAATTAAAATCAATTGGAGCTGAATTGCTTGTGTTTTTACATTTATGTCATACAATATATACTTTATACACTGAACAAAAAATATAAACGCAACATGTGAAAGTGTTGGTCCCATGTTTCATGAGCTGAAATAAAAGATCCCAGAAATGTTCCATACGCACAAAAAAGCTTATTTCTCTCAAATGTTGTGCACAAATTTGTTTACATCCCTGTTAGTGAGCATTTCTTCTTTGCCAAGATAATCCATCCACCTGACAGGTGTGGCATATCAAGAAGCTGATTAAACAGCATGATCATTACACAGGTGCACCTTGTGCTGGGGACATTAAAAGGCCACTCTAAAATGTACAGTTTTGCCACACAACACAATGCCACAGATGTCTCAAGTTTTGAGGGAGCGTGCAATTGGCATGCTGACTGCAGGAATGTCCACCAGAGCTGTTGCCAGAGAATTTAATGTTAATTTCTCTACCATAAGCCGCCTCCAACATCATTTTAGAGAATTTGGCAGTACATCCAAACGGCCTCACAACCACAGACCACGTGTATGGCGTCATGTGGGCGAGTGGTTTGCTGATGTCAACGTTGTGAACAGAGTGCCCCATGGTGGCGGTGGGGTTATAGCTACGGACAACGAACACAATTGCATTTTTTTCGATGGAAATTTGAAGGCACAGAGATACTGTGACGAGATCCTGAGGCCCATTGTCGTGCCATTCAACTGCTGCCTTCACCTCATGTTTCAGCATGATAATGCATGGCCCCATGTCACAAGGATCTGTACACAATTTCTGGAAGCTGGAAACGTCCCAGTTCTTCCATGGCCTGCGTACTCACCAAACAGTCACCCATTGAGCGTGCTTGGGATGCTCTGGATCATCATGTACGACAGCGTGTTCCAGTTCCCGCCAATATCTAGGCAACTTCACACAGCCATTGAAGAGGAGTGGGACAACATTTCCACAGGCCACAATCAACAGCCTGATCAACTCTATGCGAAGGAGATGTGTCGCGCTGTATGAGGCAAATGGTGGTCACACCAGATACTGACTGGTTTTCTGATTCACGCCCCTACTTTTTTTTTTTAAGGTATCTGTGACCGACAGATGCATATCTGTATTCCTCAGTCATGTGAAATCCATAGATTACATTTACATTTCAGTCATTTAGCAGACACTCTTATCCAGAGCGACTTACAGTTAGTGAGTGCATACATTTTTCATACTGGCCCCCCGTGGGAATCGAACCCACAACCCTGGCGTTGCAAGCGCCATGCTCTACCAACAGAGCTATAGGAGGCCTAATTCATTTATTTCCTTATATGAACTGTAACTTATTTGAAATTGTTGCATGTTGCGTTTATATTTTTTGCAAATAAAAATCACCCACGGGCCGCCAGTTGGGAACCCTGTTGTATAACATATAAGTTAGTTTTTCCTCTTTGACTTGGTCAGGCTGGAACTAGGAAAAACTCCAGGCCCAATCATTTGATATCTCTGAGATATGATCACAGCGTGTATTTATTTGTCTCTATGATATGAACCCCTCTGCCAGGTAAGAAGGGTCAATGTGTGTACCAGGGCATCACCATGTTTGAGAAAGCCGTCTGGTCCCCCAAGCAGTGTGTCACCTGTCTGTGTAGTGGAGGGGAGGTGGTCTGTGACCAGATCATTTGCATGGACACAGGTAGCTGATGTTGTTTATATTGTTGTGGTGGTGGTGTATCACTGAACTGATCTGAACTATGGTAGTACTATCTGAACTGATCTTAACTATGGTAGTACTTTCTTAACTGATCTTAACTATGGTAGTACTTTCTTAACTGATCTTAACTATGGTAGTACTATCTGAACTGATCTTAACTATGGTAGTACTATCTGAACTGATCTTAACTATGGTAGTACTATCTGAACTGATCTTAACTATGGTAGTACTATCTGGACTGATCTTAACTATGGTAGTACTTTCTTAACTATGGTAGTACTATCTTAACTGATCTTAACTATGGTAGTACTTTCTTAACTATGGTAGTACTATCTTAACTGATCTTAACTATGGTAGTACTATCTTAACGGTTCTTAACTATGGTAGTACTATCTGAACTGATCTTAACTATGGTAGTACTATCTTAACTGATCTTAACTATGGTAGTACTTTCTTAACTGATCTTAACTATGGTAGTACTTTCTTAACTATGGTAGTACTATCTTAACTGATCTTAACTATGGTAGTACTATCTTAATGGTTCTTAACTATGGTAGTACTATCTGAACTGATCTTAACTATGGTAGTACTATCTTAACTGATCTTAACTATGGTAGTACTTTCTTAACTGTTCTTAACTATGGTAGTACTATCTTAACTGATCTTAACTATGGTAGTACTTTCTTAACTGATCTTAACTATGGTAGTACTATCTGAACTGATCTTAACTATGGTAGTACTTTCTTAACTATGGTAGTACTATCTTAACTGATCTTAACTATGGTAGTACTTTCTTAACTATGGTAGTACTATCTTAACTGATCTTAACTATGGTAGTACTTTCTTAACTGATCTTAACTATGGTAGTACTTTCTTAACTATGGTAGTACTATCTTAACTGATCTTAACTATGGTAGTACTATCTTAACTGATCTTAACTATGGTAGTACTATCTTAACGGTTCTTAACTATGGTAGTACTATCTGAACTGATCTTAACTATGGTAGTACTATCTTAACTGATCTTAACTATGGTAGTACTTTCTTAACTGTTCTTAACTATGGTAGTACTATCTTAACTGATCTTAACTATGGTAGTACTTTCTTAACTATGGTAGTACTATCTTAACTGATCTTAACTATGGTAGTACTATCTTAACTGGTCTTAACTATGGTAGTACTATCTTAACTGATCTTAACTATGGTAGTACTATCTGAACTGATCTTAACTATGGTAGTACTATCTTAACTGATCTTAACTATGGTAGTACTTTCTTAACTGTTCTTAACTATGGTAGTACTATCTTAACTGATCTTAACTATGGTAGTACTATCTTAACTGATCTTAACTATGGTAGTACTTTCTTAACTATGGTAGTACTATCTTAACTGATCTTAACTATGGTAGTACTATCTTAACTGGTCTTAACTATGGTAGTACTATCTTAACTGATCTTAACTATGGTAGTACTATCTGAACTGATCTTAACTATGGTAGTACTATCTTAACTGATCTTAACTATGGTAGTACTTTCTTAACTGTTCTTAACTATGGTAGTACTATCTTAACTGATCTTAACTATGGTAGTACTATCTTAACTGATCTTAACTATGGTAGTACTATCTGAACTGATCTTAACTATGGTAGTACTTTCTTAACTGTTCTTAACTATGGTAGTACTATCTTAACTGATCTTAACTATGGTAGTACTATCTTAACTGATCTTGTCTTATTCTAACTGATGTTTCCTCATAAGGCACAGATATACAGTGATGTAACACTATATCTATATACCGTTGAAGTAGGAAGTTTACATCCTCTTAGGTTGGAGTCATTAAAACTCGTTTTTCAACCACTCCACACATTTCTTGTTAACAAACTATAGTTTTGGCAAGTCAGTTTGGACATCTACTTTGTGCATGACACAAGTAATTTTTCCAACAATTGTTTACAGACAGATGATTTCACTTATAATTCACTGTATCACAATTCCAGTGGGTCAGAAGTTTACATACATTAAGTTGACTGTGCCTTCAAACAGCTTGGAAAATTCCAGAAAATGATGTAATGGCTTTAGAAGCTTCTGATAGGCTAATTGACATAATTTGAGTCAATTGGAGGTGTACCTGTGGATGTATTTCAAGGCCTACCTTCAAACTCAGTGCCTCTTTGCTTGACATCATGGGAAAATCAAAAGAAATCAGCCAAGACCTCAGAAAAATAATTGTAGACCTCCACAAGTCTGGTTCATCCTTAGGAGCAATTTCCAAATGCCTGAAGGTACCACGTTCATCTGTACAAACAATAGTACACAAGTATAAACACCATGGGACCATGCAGCCGTCATACCGCTCAGGAAGGAGACGCGTTCTGTCTCCTAGAGATTAACGTACTTTGGTGCGAAAAGTGCAAATCAATCCAAGAACAGCAGCAAAGGACCTTGTGAAGATGCTGGAGGAAACAGGTACAAAAGTATCTATATCGCCATAACATGAAAGGCCGCTCAGCAAGGAAGAAGCCACTGCTCCAAAACCGCCATAAAAAAGCCAGACTACGGTTTGCAACCGCACATGGGGACAAAGATTGTACTTTTTTGAGAAATGTCCTCTGGTCTGATGAAACAAAAATTGAACTATTTGGCCATAATGAACATCGTTATGTTTGGAGGAAAAAGGGGGACGGCTTGCAAGCCAAAGAACACCATCCCAACCATGAAGCACGGGGGTGGTAGCATCATGCTGTGGGGGTGCTTTGCTGCAGGAGGGACTGGTGCACTTCACAAAATAGATGGCATCATGAGGAAGGAAAATTATGTGGATATATTGAAGAGTCATTGTCCATTTGGAAGACCCATTTGCGACCAAGCTTTAACTTCCTGACTGATGTCTTGAGATGTTGCTTCAATGTATCCACATAACTTTCCTTCCTCATGATGCCATCTATTTTGTTTAAAGGCACAGTCAACTTAGTGTATGTAAACTTCTGACCCACTGGAATTGTGATACAGTGAATTATAAGTGAAATAATCTGTCTGTAAACAATTGTTGGAATAATTACTTGTGTCATGCACAAAGTAGATGTCCTAACCGACTTGCCAAAACTATAGTTTGTTAACAAGGAATTTGTGGAGTGGTTGAAAAACAAGTTTTTAATTACTCCTGAGTGGCGCAGTGGTCTAAGGCACTGCATCGCAGTGCTAACTGTGCCACTAGAGATCCTGGTTCGAATCCAGGCTCTGTCGCAGCCGGCCGCGACCGGGAGACTCATGGGCGGCGCACAATTGGCCCAGCGTCGTCCAGGGTAGGGGAGGGAATGGCCGGCAGGGATGTAGCTCAGTTGATAGAGCATGGCGTTTGCAACGCCAGGGTTGTGGGTTCGATTCCCACGGGGGGCCAGTATAAAAAAAATATATATATGTATTCACTAACTGTAAGTCGCTCTGGATAAAAGCGTCTGCTAAATGACGTAAATGTAAATGTAACCTTCCGACTTCAACTGTATATAGATATATACAGATCTACAGTGTAACACCGAACTCTGAAATACTAGTTGATAACTTTAGAGACTTTCCATTGGTGGAGCCATAACATGAATATGCCTCCACCAATCTATCCCTCCCTCCTGGATCTATCCCTCACTCCATTCCTCTCCCTCCCTCCATCTTATCTCCCTCCCGCTTCCTTCTCTAACACTCTGTGGTTCCGGTTGGCCCGTGGTGACTTCTCTGGCAATTCCCCAGTACCCAACGACCCCAGCGACCCTGTGAATCCTGACCTTGACCTCGCCCTTGACCCTGCCGTGCCCCGCTCCCAGGCCGAGATCGAACTCCTCTTGAAGAGAGAGGAGGAGGAGCACAGGGAGGAGGAGACACGTCTTCTCAAGAAGGACGCCGAGAAAAAGAGGAAGAAGAAACAGAAGAAGGAGGAGGCGGAGAGACAGAGGAGGCTGCAGGAGGAGAGGAGCCGCGAGGAAGAGCGGCTGCGGATGGAGGAGGAGGAGGAAGAGAGGAGGCAGGAGGAGGAGAGGAGGCAGGAGGACGAGAGGAGGCAAGAGGAAGAGAGGAGGCAGGAGGAAGAGAGGAGGCAGGAGGAAGAGAGGAGGCAGGAGGAAGAGAGGAGGAGACACAAGGAAGACCTGAAGGAGAAACTCAGGGAGCTAGCGGAGGAGGAAGAAGAGGAGGAAATGGAGCGGCTGTTGAGAGGAGATGTTTTCCAGATGTTTCCAGAGGAGTCGACCGAAGAGGACATCCTTCCACCTCCCCTAGCCGAGCCCACTGAGAAACAAGAGGAGGATGGAGGAGAGGAGTGGGGAGTGGTGGTACGCAGACCTGGGAACGCCCTCCCGCTAGGTTGTGATATCTCTGATGTCATTTTGACGTGTGAGAACGCTAAGCTGACCAACTTTCCTCCCCTAAACATCCCTGAACTCAAGTCTCTGAGTCTGGAAGGTAAGTTCAAGGAAAACTCCAACCAAAAACTATCATTTGGTATTTGTTTCATTAGTAAATTGTTGATACAGTCCCAAGATGTTTTGCATGTCAGCAATCCAGTTTTCAAGATATGTAACTTTCAAAGTACAGAAATACAGCCGGCATGATGCATGTTGCATCATATGATGCTGTGTTTTACCAGCTGTATTTCTGTACTTTGAAAGTTACATATCTTGAAAACTGGATTGCTGACATGCAAAACATCTTGGGACTGTATCAACAATTTACTAATGAAACAAATACCAAATGATAGTTTTTGGTTGGAGTTTTCCTTTAAGGCAGCTGTGTGTGTGTGTGTGTGTGTGTGTGTGTGTGTGTGTGTGTGTGTGTGTGTGTGTGTGTGTGTGTGTGTGTGTGTTGCATAAGGTAGCTAACACACCATCATGTGTTACAGACACTAGACTAGAAATTTCAATCCCAATCACCCAAAACCAATCCCTACGCACAGAGACTAAAGTTAACAGGAACTGAAAATAATAAAATACTGAGGATAGATGTATTAGTTTCCTTGTTAAGCTTTAGTTTAGCTTGTTATACTGCAATTATGGAGGCTTTGCATAATGATGGTATGTAATAGAGGTATGCGAGTTGAGCTTTTGGACCATGTCTTGACTTGCAGGACACGTAGTCATGGAAAGTACAACAGAGCTATTCTAAACACATTTAATCACGCCGTCACAACTCTGCCAGGCTCTGGCGTCCAGGCTTAATGATCAAGATCAAAATACTGACCCAGCATGGAGGATATTAATGTGATTTTATTCCTCATATTTTAATGTTTCTGACTTAACCGCCAGGTAACGACATCACAACCATCCCAGTGGGAGCATTCAACGGTATCCCCAACCTGGAGTGGATCAACCTGGGCAAGAACAGGCTGATGGCTGCTGGCATTGCCCCACATGCCTTCAAAGTAAGAGTTGTTTTTTTCTGCTGGCATCGCCCCACATGCCTTCAAAGTAAGAGTTGTTTTTTTTCTGCTGGCATCGCCCCACACTCCTTCAAAGTAAGAGTTGTTTTTTTCTGCTGGCATCGCCGCACACTCCTTCAAAGTAAGAGTTGTTTTTTCTGCTGGCATCGCCGCACACTCCTTCAAAGTAAGAGTTGTTTTTTCTGCTGGCTTCACCCCACACGCCTTCAAAATAAGGAGTCTGTTTCCAATGAGCCTGTCCAACCAATGAAACATGAACAGTGTGGGAACAGTGTGGGAGCAGATATCCATCAGTTTATATGTGAACAAACAGAAGCATTTCAACATGATGGAGAAAAAAATAACCATTTGACTCACTCTCTCTGGTCAAAATAAAGTCTGCGTTTAAACAGTCAATGGTGAAATCCATCTTGTACATTTCCCAAAACAAACAGCGGTCTATCATCCTAGAGTTATGACTGCCTTACCTGGTTAAAATAAAAATAAATACATACACAAAAAAAAAACACTTAGATGGACATCAGCAGTATAGATATATGATTTAACTTGTCTTAACTTTGAACGAGGCACAACAGACGCCAAAATCTCACTTCTCCCTGTTTTAAACCAACATGAACTAACTGTAGCATGACTCTTGGAGCCAGTCTGCACAATGAAACGGAGTCTAAACTCTTACGCCGTGCAGGCTTTAAAGGAATGCTGTTGAGCTAGCTTCAGCCTGCTCTGCCACAAACCTGCACTCGACTTTTAACAAAAACAACATTCCATGGCCCTTAGTCAAGAGAAACCTCAGAGGAACAGGGTTAGAGGAACAGGGTTAGAGAAACCTCAGAGGAACAGGGATAGAGAAACCTCAGAGGAACAGGGTTAGAGAAACCTCAGAGGAACAGGGTTAGAGAAACCCCAGAGGAACAGGGTTAGAGGAACAGGGATAGAGAAACCTCAGAGGAACAGGGTTAGAGAAACCTCAGAGGAACAGGGTTAGAGGAACAGGGATAGAGAAACCTCAGAGGAACAGGGTTAGAGAAACCTCAGGGGAACAGGGTTAGAGAAACCTCAGAGGAACAGGGTTAGAGAAACCTCAGAGGAACAGGGTTAGAGAAACCTCAGAGGAACAGGGTTTGAGAAACCTCAGAGGAACAGGGATAGAGAAACCTCAGAGGAACAGGGATAGAGAAACCTCAGAGGAACAGGGTTAGAGAAACCTCAGAGGAACAGGGTTAGAGAAACCTCAGAGGAACAGGGTTAGAGAAACCTCAGAGGAACAGGGATAGAGAAACCTCAGAGGAACAGGGTTAGAGAAACCTCAGAGGAACAGGGATAGAGAAACCTCAGAGGAACAGGGTTAGAGAAACCTCAGAGGAACAGGGTTAGAGGAACAGGGTTAGAGAAACCTCAGAGGAACAGGGATAGAGAAACCTCAGAGGAACAGGGTTAGAGAAACCTCAGAGGAACAGGGTTAGAGAAACCTCAGAGGAACAGGGTTAGAGAAACCTCAGAGGAACAGGGTTAGAGAAACCTCAGAGGAACAGGGATAGAGAAACCTCAGAGGAACAGGGTTAGAGAAACCTCAGAGGAACAGGGTTAGAGAAACAGGGTTAGAGAAACCCCAGAGGAACAGGGTTAGAGAAACAGGGATAGAGAAACCTCAGAGGAACAGGGTTTGAGAAACCTCAGAGGAACAGGGATAGAGAAACCTCAGAGGAACAGGGATAGAGAAACCTCAGAGGAACAGGGTTAGAGAAACCTCAGAGGAACAGGGATAGAGAAACCCCAGAGGAACAGGGTTAGAGAAACAAGGTTAGAGAAACCTCAGAGGAACAGGGTTAGAGAAACCTCAGAGGAACAGGGTTAGAGAAACCTCAGAGGAACAGGGTTAGAGAAACCTCAGAGGAACAGGGATAGAGAAACCTCAGAGGAACAGGGTTAGAGGAACAGGGTTAGAGAAACCTCAGAGGAACAGGGTTAGAGAAACCTCAGAGGAACAGGGTTAGAGAAACCTCAGAGGAACAGGGTTAGAGAAACCTCAGAGGAACAGGGTTAGAGGAACCTCAGAGGAACAGGGATAGAGAAACCTCAGAGGAACAGGGTTAGAGAAACCTCAGGGGAACAGGGTTAGAGAAACCTCAGAGGAACAGGGTTAGAGGAACAGGGATAGAGAAACCTCAGAGGAACAGGGTTAGAGAAACAGGGATAGAGAAACCCCAGAGGAACAGGGTTAGAGAAACCTCAGGGGAACAGGGTTAGAGAAACCTCAGAGGAACAGGGTTAGAGAAACCTCAGGGGAACAGGGTTAGAGAAACCTCAGAGGAACAGGGTTAGAGAAACCTCAGGGGAACAGGGTTAGAGAAACCTCAGAGGAACAGGGTTAGAGGAACAGGGATAGAGAAACCTCAGAGGAACAGGGATAGAGAAACCCCAGAGGAACAGGGTTAGAGAAACCTCAGAGGAACAGGGTTAGAGAAACAGGGATAGAGAAACCCCAGAGGAACAGGGTTAGAGGAACAGGGTTAGAGAAACCTCAGAGGAACAGGGTTAGAGAAACCTCAGAGGAACAGGGTTAGAGAAACCTCAGAGGAACAGGGTTAGAGAAACCTCAGAGGAACAGGGTTAGAGAAACCTCAGAGGAACAGGGTTAGAGAAACCTCAGAGGAACAGGGTTAGAGAAACAGGGATAGAGAAACCCCAGAGGAACAGGGTTAGAGGAACAGGGTTAGAGAAACCTCAGAGGAACAGGGTTAGAGAAACCTCAGAGGAACAGGGTTAGAGAAACCTCAGAGGAACAGGGTTAGAGAAACCTCAGAGGAACAGGGATAGAGAAACCTCAGAGGAACAGGGTTAGAGAAACCTCAGAGGAACAGGGTTAGAGAAACCTCAGAGGAACAGGGTTAGAGAAACCTCAGAGGAACAGGGTTAGAGAAACCTCAGAGGAACAGGGTTAGAGAAACCTCAGAGGAACAGAGTTAGAGAAACCTCAGAGGAACAGGGATGGAGAAACCCCAGAGGAACAGGGTTAGAGAAACCTCAGAGGAACAGGGATAGAGAAACCTCAGAGGAACAGGGATAGAGAAACCTCAGAGGAACAGGGATAGAGAAACCTCAGAGGAACAGGGTTAGAGAAACCTCAGAGGAACAGGGTTAGAGAAACCTCAGAGGAACAGGGTTAGAGGAACAGGGTTAGAGAAACCTCAGAGGAACAGGGTTAGAGAAACCTCAGAGGAACAGGGATAGAGAAACCTCAGAGGAACAGGGTTAGAGGAACAGGGTTAGAGAAACCTCAGAGGAACAGGGATAGAGAAACCTCAGAGGAACAGGGTTAGAGGAAGAGGGTTAGAGAAACCTCAGAGGAACAGGGTTAGAGGAACAGGGTTAGAGAAACCTCAGAGGAACAGGGATAGAGAAACCTCAGAGGAACAGGGTTAGAGAAACCTCAGAGGAACAGGGTTAGAGAAACCTCAGAGGAACAGGGTTAGAGAAACCTCAGAGGAACAGGGTTAGAGAAACCTCAGAGGAACAGGGTTAGAGAAACAGGGATAGAGAAACCCCAGAGGAACAGGGTTAGAGGAACCTCAGAGGAACAGGGATAGAGAAACCTCAGAGGAACAGGGTTAGAGAAACCTCAGAGGAACAGGGATAGAGAAACCTCAGAGGAACAGGGTTAGAGAAACCTCAGAGGAACAGGGTTAGAGAAACCTCAGAGGAACAGGGTTAGAGAAACCTCAGAGGAACAGGGTTAGAGAAACCGCAGAGGAACAGGGTTAGAGGAACAGGGTTAGAGAAACCTCAGAGGAACAGGGTTAGAGAAACCCCAGAGGAACAGGGTTAGAGAAACAGGGTTAGAGAAACCGCAGAGGAACAGGGTTAGAGGAACAGGGATAGAGAAACCTCAGAGGAACAGGGATAGAGAAACCTCAGAGGAACAGGGTTAGAGGAACCCCAGAGGAACAGGGATAGAGAAACCTCAGAGGAACAGGGTTAGAGAAACAGGGTTAGAGAAACCCCAGAGGAACAGGGATAGAGAAACCTCAGAGGAACAGGGTTAGAGAAACCTCAGAGGAACAGGGATAGAGAAACCCCAGAGGAACAGGGTTAGAGGAACAGGGTTAGAGGAACAGGGATAGAGAAACCTCAGAGGAACAGGGTTTGAGAAACCTCAGAGGAACAGGGTTAGAGAAACCTCAGAGGAACAGGGATAGAGAAACCCCAGAGGAACAGGGTTAGAGGAACAGGGTTAGAGGAACAGGGATAGAGAAACCTCAGAGGAACAGGGTTAGAGAAACCTCAGAGGAACAGGGTTTGAGAAACCTCAGAGGAACAGGGTTAGAGAAACCTCAGAGGAACAGGGATAGAGAAACCCCAGAGGAACAGGGTTAGAGAAACCTCAGAGGAACAGGGTTAGAGAAACCTCAGAGGAACAGGGATAGAGAAACCTCAGAGGAACAGGGTTAGAGAAACCTCAGAGGAACAGGGATAGAGAAACCTCAGAGGAACAGGGTTAGAGAAACCTCAGAGGAACAGGGATAGAGAAACCTCAGAGGAACAGGGTTAGAGAAACCTCAGAGGAACAGGGTTAGAGGAACAGGGTTAGAGAAACCTCAGAGGAACAGGGTTTGAGAAACCTCAGAGGAACAGGGTTAGAAAAACCCCAGAGGAACAGGGTTAGAGGAACAGGGTTAGAGAAACCTCAGAGGAACAGGGTTAGAGAAACAGGGATAGAGAAACCTCAGAGGAACAGGGTTAGAGAAACCTCAGAGGAACAGGGATAGAGGAACAGGGTTAGAGAAACCTCAGAGGAACAGGGTTAGAGAAACCTCAGAGGAACAGGGTTAGAGAAACCTCAGAGGAACAGGGATAGAGAAACCTCAGAGGAACAGGGTTAGAGAAACAGGGTTAGAGAAACCTCAGAGGAACAGGGTTAGAGAAACCTCAGAGGAACAGGGATAGAGAAACCTCAGAGGAACAGGGATAGAGAAACCTCAGAGGAACAGGGTTAGAGAAACCTCAGAGGAACAGGGATAGAGAAACCTCAGAGGAACAGGGTTAGAGAAACAGGGATGGAGAAACCTCAGAGGAACAGGGTTAGAGAAACCTCAGAGGAACAGGGATAGAGAAACCTCAGAGGAACAGGGATAGAGAAACCTCAGAGGAACAGGGATAGAAAAAACCTCAGAGGAACAGGGATAGAGAAACCTCAGAGGAACAGGGTTAGAGAAACCTCAGAGGAACAGGGTTAGAGAAACCTCAGAGGAACAGGGTTAGAGAAACCTCAGAGGAACAGGGTTAGAGAAACCTCAGAGGAACAGGGATAGAGAAACCTCAGAGGAACAGGGATAGAGAAACCTCCGAGGAACAGGGATAGAGAAACCTCAGAGGAACAGGGATAGAGAAACCTCCGAGGAACAGGGATAGAGAAACCTCAGAGGAACAGGGATAGAGAAACCTCCGAGGAACAGGGATAGAGAAACCTCAGAGGAACAGGGTTAGAGAAACCTCAGAGGAACAGGGATAGAGAAACCTCCGAGGAACAGGGATAGAGAAACCTCAGAGGAACAGGGATAGAGAAACCCCAGAGGAACAGGGTTAGAGAAACCTCAGAGGAACAGGGATAGAGAAACCTCAGAGGAACAGGGATAGAGAAACCTCAGAGGAACAGGGTTAGAGAAACCTCAGAGGAACAGGGTTAGAGAAACCTCAGAGGAACAGGGTTAGAGAAACCTCAGAGGAACAGGGATAGAGAAACCTCAGAGGAACAGGGTTAGAGAAACCTCAGAGGAACAGGGTTAGAGAAACCTCAGAGGAACAGGGTTAGAGAAACCGCAGAGGAACAGGGTTAGAGGAACAGGGTTAGAGAAACCTCAGAGGAACAGGGTTAGAGAAACCCCAGAGGAACAGGGTTAGAGAAACAGGGTTAGAGAAACCGCAGAGGAACAGGGTTAGAGGAACAGGGATAGAGAAACCTCAGAGGAACAGGGATAGAGAAACCTCAGAGGAACAGGGTTAGAGGAACCCCAGAGGAACAGGGATAGAGAAACCTCAGAGGAACAGGGTTAGAGAAACAGGGTTAGAGAAACCCCAGAGGAACAGGGATAGAGAAACCTCAGAGGAACAGGGTTAGAGAAACCTCAGAGGAACAGGGATAGAGAAACCCCAGAGGAACAGGGTTAGAGGAACAGGGTTAGAGGAACAGGGATAGAGAAACCTCAGAGGAACAGGGTTTGAGAAACCTCAGAGGAACAGGGTTAGAGAAACCTCAGAGGAACAGGGATAGAGAAACCCCAGAGGAACAGGGTTAGAGGAACAGGGTTAGAGGAACAGGGATAGAGAAACCTCAGAGGAACAGGGTTAGAGAAACCTCAGAGGAACAGGGTTTGAGAAACCTCAGAGGAACAGGGTTAGAGAAACCTCAGAGGAACAGGGATAGAGAAACCCCAGAGGAACAGGGTTAGAGAAACCTCAGAGGAACAGGGTTAGAGAAACCTCAGAGGAACAGGGATAGAGAAACCTCAGAGGAACAGGGTTAGAGAAACCTCAGAGGAACAGGGATAGAGAAACCTCAGAGGAACAGGGTTAGAGAAACCTCAGAGGAACAGGGATAGAGAAACCTCAGAGGAACAGGGTTAGAGAAACCTCAGAGGAACAGGGTTAGAGGAACAGGGTTAGAGAAACCTCAGAGGAACAGGGTTTGAGAAACCTCAGAGGAACAGGGTTAGAGAAACCCCAGAGGAACAGGGTTAGAGGAACAGGGTTAGAGAAACCTCAGAGGAACAGGGTTAGAGAAACAGGGATAGAGAAACCTCAGAGGAACAGGGTTAGAGAAACCTCAGAGGAACAGGGTTAGATAAACCTCAGAGGAACAGGGTTAGAGAAACCTCAGAGGAACTAGGATGGAGAAACCCATTTCCAGCCAGCTAGATCCACTGAGGTACTATATCACCAGAAAGAGGTGAGGTGTGACAATCAGGACATTTCTATAACAAGAACCCTTGATTTTGTTAACAATTTCGTGACAGAGTGCCAACAGCGATCGTTTTCTTTCCAATACTTTAGGTGCACTTGATTTAGCTTGCCCTCTTTAATGGAACCAATGGAAGCGTCCCAATAAGTATTTTGTTAGTTAGTTATTTCAACCCAGGTCTCGTTTATATTCCAATGTACAATATTTACATTTCTTTATCAGTTTCCCCTTCCACAGAATGACAGATTATTTTCCATCACTATAACATGTAAACGATTGAACATGTATCTAGATATACAGTACTTTATTTTCCATTGGTTAGAATGGAAATTCCCAGAGACACACTTCCAATAAGTCTACTCCCACTATGTCTAGGGGTCCTAGCCTGTCTGAATGGTCCAAAGCCTGTCTGAATGGTCCAAAGCCTGTCTGAATGGTCCAAAGCATGTCTGAATGGTCCAAAGCCTGTCTGAATGGTCCAAAGCCTGTCTGAATGGTCCAAAGCCTGTCTGAATGGTCCAAAGCCTGTCTGAATGGTCCTAGCCTGTCTGAATGGTCCTAGCCTGTCTGAATGGTCCAAAGCCTGTCTGAATGGTCCAAAGCCTGTCTGAATGGTCCAAAGCCTGTCTGAATGGTCCAAAGCCTGTCTGAATGGTCCAAAGCCTGTCTGAATGAGTGTATTTAACATCAGCAGTAGGAGTAAGCTAACCAGGCGTTGGCTGCATGTGTCCAGGAGTATGCTAACCAGATGGCTAACCAGATGGCATTACCAGATGGCTAACCAGATGGCTAACCAGATGGCTAACCAGATGGCTAACCAGATGGCATTACCAGGGTCACGGGCCTGTTAATGTTGTTAATGTTTGCTGGTCAGGGCCTGAAGTTCCTGAGCCGTCTGTACCTGGACAACAACCTCCTAGAGACGGTCCCAACAGATCTCCCATCAACACTACAGGAACTCAAGTTCAACGAGAACCACCTCAAAGGGATCGAGGAGAACAGCTTCCAAGGTAACAAAACCAACAAACAAAAAAAATCTGCCTGCTGCTAGTTACAGGACAAACACTTTCAAACTACTTTTTGGGCCATTTCAGGCCATAAAATGGGTCAAACTGCAATGCTTCAATCCGAAAAAACTTTTAAACTGCACAAACATAAATATTTGTTAGTGGAAGTGGCTGAAACCATAACCAACACAAGGAGACAATCTGACTTTTATAGGAAAATGATTTAATTGCTGTGTAATTTCTGGCAGGTCTGAGTAGCCTGTTGACCTTGGAGTTGGAAGGGAATGTCCTGAGCGAAGGGAACGTGGACCCTCTAGCTTTCAGCCCCCTCTCCCAGCTTTCCTACCTCCGTCTGGGCAGAAACCACTTCAGGACTGTCCCCCAGGGACTTCCTCCATCTCTACTGGTGAGCTGGATCACTTCTATCCAAGCATTATATATATATATACACACACACTACCAGTCAAAAGCTTGGACACACCTACTCATTCAAGGGCATTTCCTTCTTTTTACTATTTTCTACATTGTAGAATAATAGTGAAGATATCAAAACTATGAAATAACACATATGGAATCATGCAGTAACCAAAAAAAAGTGTTAAACAAATCAAAATATATTTTATATTTGAGATTCTTTAAATAGCCACCCTTTGCCTTGATGACAGCTTTGCACACGCTTGGTGTACCTCGACACAATCCTGTCTCGGAGCTCTACGGACAATTCCTTCGACCTCATGGCTTGGTTTTTGCTCTGACGTGCACTGTCAACTGTAGGACCTTATATAGACAGGTGTGTGCCTTTCCAAATAATGTCCAATCAATTTAATTTACCACAGGTGGACTCCAATCAAGTTGTAGAAACATCTCAAGGATGATCAATGGAAACAGGATGCACCTGAGCTCAATTTCAAGTCTCATAGCAAAGGGTCTGAATACTTATGTAAATAAGGGATTTCTGTTTTTTTATTTGTAAGACAATGCTTTGTCATTATGGGGTATTGTGTGTAGATTAAATAAATACAAATCATCATCAATCTATTTTAGAATAAAGTTGTAACGTAACAAAATGTGGAAAAAGTCAAGGGGTCTGAATACTTTCCGAATGCACTGAAAATATACACATATAATAGAATAAACGTGACTAAAATGACTGTAGACAGCGGCAGGTGGCTTAGTGGTTAAGAGCGTTGTGCCAGTAACCGAAAGGTCGCTGGTTCTAATCCCCGAGCCGACTAGGTGAAAAATCTGTCGATGTGCCCTTGAGCAAGGCACTTAACCCTAATTGCTCATGTAAGTCGCTCTGGATAAGAGCGTCTGCTAAATGACTAAAATGTAAATGTAAATAAATGCATTTCTATAGCTTCCGAAATATATTTTACAACGGTGGGGGAGTGTCAAGATGGAGGCGCGGTGGCTTCAGAACAGCGCCCCCTATCAGTAATCTAGTGTATATATAAATCATTGGTTTCATCCATTTCTTTCTGTGGATGGAAATTCTTCGGATAAATCTAAGGTACATTTCCGAGTTCCTCAAGGCTCTGTTCTTGAACCACAACAGTTCTTCTGCTACCCCTCTGCCATTTTAGTCATAAACACAGTGTAGATTTTCACTGATAAGTGGACGATACACAGCTGTACATTTCTATGAAACATAGTGAAGCAACTAAAGCATTTTTCTTGATAAGCCTTATCCACAACTCACTCTCATGCTCTGGTTAAAAGACAATGTGCCATGTCAGGAAGGAGTGGCTCAAACATAACAATTATGGCTAACCTCAACACTCAGCCCTGCCAGACATGGATGCCTGCTTCACATAACATCCAGTACAACATGTCATTACATAACATTCAGTATAACATGTCATCACATAACATCCTGTAGAGGAGCAAATGGCCTCTCCAGCAAACAGTGCATCTCCATTGTGTATAAATAAAGCAGTATAAACAATCTTCATTTTATCGTTCTGTTTTCAGGAGGTTTACCTTGAGAACAACCTGATAGAAGAGATATCCGACTCCGTCTTCAACCAAACCACTAACCTGAACGTGATCTCACTGAGACACAACAGACTGGATGAGTCCAGGATCGCACCTCTAGCATGGATCGACCACAAGTAAGAAAACTAGAGGATTTCACAAGTCTTCTTTTCAATGCATATCTTACAAAGAAACTATAGTAAAGTTATTAGGAGTTCCACACCCCCCCTTGTCCTCAGAACAGCCTCAATGCGTTGGGGCATGGGCTCTACAAGGTGTCGAAAGCGTTCCACAGGGATGCTGGCCCATGTTGACTCCAATGCTTCCCACAGTTGGCTGGATGTCCTTTGGGTGGTGGACCATTCTTGATAAACACGGGAAACTGTTGAGCATGGAAAAACCCAGCAGCGTTGCAGTTCTTGACACAAACCGGTGCGCCTGGCACCTACTACCATACCCCCTTCAAAAAGGCACTTAAATATTTTGTCTTGCCCATTCACCCTCTGAATGGCACACATACACAATCCATGTCTCAATTGTCTTAAAAATCCTTCTTTAACCTGTCTCCTCCCCATTCATCTACACTGATTGAAGTGGATTTAACAAGTGGCATCAATAAGGGATCATAGCTTTCACCTGGATTCACCTGGTCAGTCTGTGTCATGGAAAGAGCAGGTGTCCTTAATGTTTTGTCCACTCAGTGTATTTCACATTCCTTCCTCAAAGTGTTATTGTGTGTAGGTTTATATTCTCTACGTGAACTAATGTCTTATTTTCTTCTTCTTATTTCTCACTCTCTTCCTTCCTTCCTCCCTTAGGAACCTGGAGTCCATCGACCTATCCTACAACCGTCTGTACCTGGTCCCATCCTACCTGCCCAGAGCTCTGGTCCACCTGGTCTTAGTAGGGAACCAGATCGAGAGGATCCCAGGTATTTACCATCCAGGACCACTTTGGAACAATTTTTAATTCAGACTTTTAAGCGCTATCTTCTGGGTATACAATGTACAATCTTGCTGTGTATGTTTTTTTTACCCAGTTAAATTAATTTCAATTGAATTCAGGGTTTGTGTTTGCCCACATGGAGCCGGGCATCGAGTACCTGTACCTGTCCTATAACAGGCTGGATGGGGACGGGGTTGAGCCAGAGTCCTTCTTCGGTACCTACACCTCCATGACAGAGCTGTGTTTAGACCACAACCAGCTGATCACGGTTCCCCCTGGTATCAACGAGATGAGCACTCTGCACTTCCTCCGCCTCAATGACAATAAAATAAGGTACTGTACACGCCGTCTGCGTCCCAATATGGCATCCTATACCCTACATAGTGCACTGCTTTTGACCAGGGATGTAAGGGGCCCATTTGGGAAGCAATCGCTGACTCATTAGGCTAACTATTCACTGCTGTTATTCGTTATGACCATACTCAACCGCGCTTTGAAAAGACAAAAACACATGACAAGCTTATTGGTGTGGTCCTCTGTAGCTCAGCTGGTAGAGCACGGCGCTTGTAACGCCAAGGTAGTGGGTTCGACCCCCGGGACCACCCATACACACAAATGTATGCACACATGACTGTAAGTCGCTTTGGATAAAAGCGTCTGCTAAATGGCATATTATATTATTATTATTCAGTTCAAGAGTATTGACTGCTTGCCAGTCCAGAATATAGAGTATACATAATCACTTCAAATCAAAGTTTATTTGTCACATGCAAATCGAATCAAATGTATTTGTCACATGCACCGAATACAACGTGTAGACCTTACCGTGAAATGCTTACTTACGAGCCCTTTCCAAACAATGCAGAGTTAAAAAGTAAGAAAAATTTGCTAAAATAAAAAAAAGGAAATAGTAACACAATAAAATAAGAATAATGAAGCTAGGAGTAGCGGTACTGAGTCAATGTGCAGGGCTACCAGGTAGTAATGAGACTACATTACCTTCGGAAAGTATTGAGACCCCTTGACTTTTTCCACATTTTGTTACGTTACAGCCTTATTCTAAAATTGATTACATTATTTTTTCCCCCTAATCAATCTACACACAATACCCCATAATGACAAAGCAAAAACAGGTTTTTAGAAACGTTTGCTAATTTATAAAAAGTAAAAACAGGGAGTACAGGAGGGGACTGAGCACGCACCCCTGAGGGGCCCCCGTGTTGAGGACCAGCGTGGCGGATGTGTTGTTGCCTACCCTTACCACCTGGGGGCGGCCCGTCAGGAAGATCTAGTTGCACAGAATACGACAGGTGTCAAAGGTACGAAAAGAATATCCAGAATAGGATGATGTATGATTCATGATGTATAACCAATCATTTCTCTACATCCTACAGGACGTTTGCAGAGGATGCTATCTGTGACCCTCAGAACAACGAGGAGTCCCACATAGTGACCCTGCGCCTGGAGAACAACCTCATCGACCCCAGGAAGATCTCCCCCGCCGCCTTCTCCTGCGTACGCTCCTACTCCAGCGTCGTCTTGAAACCTCAGTGGACCCATTAAACATGATTTGAAAACTGTGGCAGAATTCCAAAACAAGACCCCCTTCTACCTAGGCGCTCCTGTAGATCTGAAAGGCTGGGATAGGTGGAAACAATATGGCGACATTTCCACACAGCCAATCACAAAGCAAGATGAAGCAATTATCATATCATCCTCTCAGATCTACAGAGCCTGGAATTCAGCCTCTGTTATTTTAGCAAAAGTCCAAAACCAAAGAAAATGTCAGTAAATCTCCAACTGTATCTCATTGTTAGAGTCATGCAACACATTCATATAAAAGGACTATAGGACCGAGCAAAACACACTTATGAAAACACACCTTCCACTTCTGGTTTTCCATCTAAAACATCTGGAAACATTCTCGGGAAGTGAGGCACAGCTTCTTGGACTTTTTTTTCTCTCCCTAAAACCTTAATGTAAAGATTGAAGTGTTTGAGTAAGACCTCCTAGTAGAGAAAACCTCAGCATGATTTGGTTTGAGTCCCAAATGGCACCCTGTTCCCTATATATAGTGCACTATATTTGACCAGGGCCCATAGGAAACAGGGTGCCATTTGGGACACAGATCTGGTGATAGAGGGCTACAACAATGTACATGTTGGCCCCAGTTTAGATGCTGCTTCATATTTTGTTCCTTGACACTCGACCCGAGAGAAGAGATGGACCAACTAAACCACACGTACTCAAGTAGCACGGAAACAGAATCAAACAACCTTTACCAGTCAGACTGCCAGGGTTAGAGGCTCCAAACTCTTTCTATAGATTATATTTCGAGGTCAAGGGTCAGGATCTACAATAGAGAGATATTCCACTGATGTAGATATGGGGATATGGGGATATGTATATAGGGGATAATAATCAGTATTTTGATATGTTATTGCTTTCACCTCAACAGACTTATTTCACAAGTCATCAATCATTCTATAAAGAAACGATCCTGTACAATCATACAAGGAAACCATACCGTGGAATGGAAACTTTTACAATAGTTTTCAGTGTTTGAAATCTGTCTGCAACACCACTTGTGCCTGGCTGGCTAAGATTTAAAAGTGGGGATAAGAATTTAGAAAAAGCTACATTTGAGAATTGCATTATCGATAAAGTTCATACAAAGTGCAAGTGACAGTTTATTTTTTCACACACCTGTACAAACATACGACGTACCACGCCTCAAATAAAGTCTGGCTTTCTTGTGATTACAATACTTTCCTGCTTCAATGAACCATTCGTTTACAAACCGAAGAGCCAGAAGACTCAACCAACACTGGATGCTCTCCAGACCCCATGACAAGAGTTGCATCCCAAATTGCACCCTATTCCTGAACATAGTGCACTACTTTTAACCAGAGCCCCATAGGGGTAAGGTCCAAAGTAGTGCACTATGTAGGGAATAAGGGTGCATATTTGGGACTCGGGACAAGTTCTCAAATTAGCGCTGCCTAGCGTATATGATGTCAGGTCATGTTGTGGTTATTAAGAATGAAAGAATAGCTACTTTGTGAGAATGTCCTTCAAGGACCTGTTGAATTTCTCAAAACACGTACCAATAATGCAACCGTATTACCAGCTGCACTGACTGAACTAACCACTGAACTATAAGAGCATATACCTCAGGATCACTTTCCAGTAACTGGAATAATACAGGTGGAGGCAGGTAGCTTAGTGGTTAAGAGCGTTGTGCCAGCAACCGAAAGGTCGCTGGTTCTAATCCCAGAGCCGACTAGGGTGAAAAATCTGTTGATGTGCCCTTGAGCAAGGCACTTAACCCTAATTGCTCCTGTAAGTCACTCTGGATAAGAGCGTCTGCTAAATGACTAATGTATTTGTTTAATTTAGGTGGATAGCAGAGTTAACAATACCTGATCGGATATCAGGGTCACGCTAGCCTGGTTCCCAGATCTGTTTGTGTTGTCTTGCCAACATCTATGGTCATTGACAAAGACGGCACAAACAGATCTGGGAACCAGGCTAAGGTCACGCTGAACTAAACGCTAAAAAGGGTTTAACGCTGTGACTGAAAGCATTCTTCTGAGAAGGCTACTGAGAAACTATTAAACATCTGCTTTATGAATGAAGAGAGACTAGCATAGCAGCTAATCAGCCATGAACCACGGACTGCATCTGAAATTCACCCTATTCACTATACAGTGCACTACTTTTGCCCAGGGCCAACAGGGTAACGTTAGTGCACTATACAGGGAATAGGGGGGTGCCATTTGGGATACAACCACTGATCACGTCTCTTCCTGTCACATGACCCCCGTTCTGATGATGCAGACAGTAGGTATACAAATTAAGTTTACCGTACGTAAGCTGCTGGGTTCAGTTCAGTCAGTCATATTTTCCTCTCATTTCAATGACACACACAGTCAAAACACACAAAAACACAGTCAAAACACAGTCAAAAAACACACACAGTGGTTTGTTGGTATCCATGGAAATAATTCTCAACTGTCTGTCTGTGTCTGGTGGTGACCCAATCAGACATCCTCTATCCTGAATGACAGTGATCTCTGTGTTGTAAATACGTCTATAGGCTAAAGTCTAATAAACCTGAACCATTAAGAATAATCAACATAACGACCTTCTGAAGTTAAATACATAAACAATACTATATCTATATCTGACAGTATTGATTCCTTGAAAGACCTGGATTGTTTCATTAATCAAGCATGCAGGATGGGAGAGAGTGAAGCTGGCTCTAATTGGACATCATGATGAACAGGGTTCCTATGTTGATGAACAGGGTTCCTATGTTGATCCTGATGAACAGGGTTCCTATGTTGATCCTGATGAACAGGGTTCCTATGTTGATCCTGATGAACTGATCTGGTTGTGAATAAGTCGGCTATCTAAATACTCATGAACACAGACAACTAATCAACATGACCTTCTGGTGTTAAATACATAGATAGTACTGATTCTTGGATTCTTAAATCGACATCCTGGAATTACATACAGTGCCTTCAGTAAGTATTCACACCCCTTGACTTTTTCCACATTTTGTTGTGTTACAACCTGAATTCCAAATTTATTAAATTGAGATTTTTGGTCAATGGCCTACACACAATACCCCATAATGTCAAAGTGAAATTGTTTTTATTTGTATTTTTACAAATTAATAAAAAATGAAAAGCTGAAATGTCTTGAGTCAACCACTTTGTTATGGCAAGCCAAAATAAGTTCAGGAGTAACAATTTGCTTAACAAGACGCATGGACAGACTCACTCTGTGTGCAACAATAGAGGTTATTAACATGATTTTGAATGAATACCTCATCTCTGTACCCCACACATACAGATACAGTGGAGAGAACAAGTATTTGATACACTGCCGATTTTGCAGGTTTTCCTACTTACAAAGCATGTAGAGGTCTGTAATTTTTATCATAGGTACACTTCAACTGTGAGAGACGGAATCTAAAACAAAAATCCAGAAAATCACATTGTATGATTTTTAAGTAATTCATTTGCATTTTATTGCATGACATAAGTATTTGATCACCTACCAACCAGAAGAAGAATTCCGGCTCTCACAGACCTGTTAGTTTTTATTTAAGCAGCCCTCCTGTTCTCCACTCATTACCTGTATTAACTGCACCTGTTTGAACTCGTTACCTGTATAAAAAGACACCTGTCCACACACTCAATCAAACAGACTCCAACCTCTCCACAATGGCCAAGACCAGAGAGCTGTGTAAGGACATCAGGGATAAAATTGTAGGCCTGCACAAGGCTGGGATGGGCTACAGGACAATAGGCAAGCAGCTTGGTGAGAAGGCAACAACTGTTGGCGCAATTATTAGAAAATGGAAGAAGTTCAAGATGACGGTCAATCACCCTCGGTCTGGGGCTCCATGCAAGATCTCACCTTGTGGGGCATCAATGATCATGAGGAAGGTGAGGGATCAGCCCAGAACTACACGGCAGGACCTGGTCAATGACCTGAAGAGAGATGGGACCACAGTCTCAAAGAAAACCATTAGTAACACACTACGCTGTCATGGATTAAAATCCTGCAGCGCACTGCCAGAGCCCTGCAAAATGACCTCCAGCAGGCCACAAATGTGCATGTGTCTGCTCAAACGGTCAGAAACAGACTCCATGAGGGTGGTATGAGGGCCCGACGTCCACAGGTGGGGGTTGTGCTTACAGCCCAACACCGTGCAGGACGTTTGGCATTTGCCAGAGAACACCAAGATTAGCAAATTCGCCACTGGCGCCCTGTGCTCTTCACAGATGAAAGCAGGTTCACACTGAGCACGTGACAGACGTGACAGAGTCTGGAGACGCCGTGGAGAACGTTCTGCTGCCTGCAACATCCTCCAGCATGACCGGTTTGGCAGTGGGTCAGTCATGGTGTGGGGTAGTATTTCTTTGGGGGGCCGCACAGCCCTCCATGTGCTCGGCAGAGGTAGCCTGACTGCCATTAGGTACCGAGATGAGATCCTCAGACCCCTCGTGAGACCATATGCTGGTGCGGTTGGCCCTGGATTCCTCCTAATGCAAGACCTCATCAGGAGCATGCCCAGGCATTGTAGGGAGGTCATACAGGCACGTGGAGGCCACACACACTACTGAGCCTCATTTTGACTTGTTTTAAGGACATTACATCAAAGTTGGATCAGCCTGTAGTGTGGTTTTCCACTTTAATTTTGAGTCTGACTCCAAATCCAGACCTCCATGGGTTGATACATTTGATTTCCATTGATCATTTTTGTGTGATTTTGTTGTCAGCACATTCAACTATGTAAAGAAAAAAGTATTTAATAAGATTATTTAATTCATTCAGATATAGGATGTGTTATTTTAGTGTTCCCTTCATTTTTTTGAGCAGTGTATATTTGTGTTTTATTTTTCATATTTTTTTCTACAAATGTCAGATTTGTTTTCCCACTTTGACATTAGACTATTTAGTGTAGATTGTTGACAAAAAATGACAATTAAATCAATTTTAATCCCACAAAGTAA